AGCGGGCAAGAATAAAACGTCTTAATTTCTGTGTGTCTGCTGCTTTTCTTTTTTTCCCTCCCCCTTTTTCCCGTAGAAAAAGTGTTTGCCAGCCTCCCGCAGGTTGAACGAGGCGTTTCCAAAATTGTCGGAGGTGATCCTAAGGGCAACAATTTTCTTTACACCAATGGAAAATGTGTCGTCATCAGAAACATTGATGTAACGTATCCCGATTTATTGTGTTCCGCAGCGTAGAGCTTTCGCTAAGTTTCATTTTGTTTCCCAGCCCCTCTCCTTCAATAGCCTGTGCTTCATTCACACCTGGTAATTTCCACTGAGGTCGTAGATCTGCGATCAGCAGCAAGGAACAAGCAGGGTGCATGACTCAGGCATAAAACCACGGGCAGCGACTGTAAAACCCTGTAGGAAATCTCAGTAGACCGGGCGGTTCTCTTCCTTTCTTTGCATAGGATTTACAGCCGAGAGACTGGGATATGCTGGTTGGCCCTGTTTATCTTCTTAAGTGCCACAGTTAGGAAGTTGAGTTTTGTGTGAGCTCTGCCTTGTCTGCTGCATTGGGCCTTTAGCTTGCAAGAGAAGCACGTAAATACTTGCAGAAAGATATTTAAAAGCACTAGTCCATAGCTTCTTTCCTCCCGGCTCCCTGCACTCCAGGAATCAAAACAGTTGGTAGTTACTTGACTGTGGAAAGCTGTCTGCAGGTTGAGTTCTCTGCCGGGGTCACAAGGAGCTTTTCTCATCGGTTAAATATTAAAATGCCCCAGATAATGTTTTCAGTGATGTGGAAGTTCGGGGTTTTGGGGTTTTTTGTTTTTGTTTTTGTTTTTTTCCTTCTGTGGTGGTATTTAGATAAATGTTATTTAAATGATGCGTTTTCAAAGATGGCATCCCTTTGAGAAGTACGGAGGAAGCATTAAATGCCTATACTATTGTCTTGCTGCTGGTTTTCAAAAAATACTTTTTTCAAAGTAAATGCTTGTCCTTTAGAAAGGCAGTCTCGCCTAGACTTACTTTCTGCTGTCACTGCAGATTTGTCCTGCAGGCAGGTCTTACCTCTCTGGAATTTTTAGGTCTCCACAACAATGGATTTATTTATGGCTGCTTTTATAATTCACCTTTGTAAACTGAATTTTTATGAGCTGTCTTCCTGATTTATATCATCGCACCCACTATATTTAGACATGTCTTCATTGTCATGCCATAGTACTGATACCTTAATTCTTCACAAATTTCTTGTTTAATTCAGTTTAAATTTATCAACTGGAAAACAAACCCAAGCTTGCACTCTGGTTTCAGTGTCTCAGCAGAATGTTGTTGTAATAATATTTCACTCTTAGTATCAAGAAAAGTTCAATTTTCTGAAACCAGAAGCCCCAATTAAACACTGTAATGGAACAGAGTGTGATGAGAGAAGAGAGAAAAGCCACGCTGCTTGGTACAGTTTTTGCCCAAGTTATGGGTTGTGACCTCATCCCTTGCACTGTCCTTAGTGCTCATCTGACCTCCTTTTGGGATTTAAACTGGGAGAAAACAGTTTGCTTTTGTCTTCCTGAATCAGCTGAAGACTTGCCCTGCGCAAATGGTAATCCCAGCAGGAGCCAGAATGTAGAGCACATGGCATGTTCTGAATACAGGACTGGTGGGATTGTGGGAATTCAAATTTAGACTGTTTAAACTCTCAAGGGAAGTTGAGAATGGAAGTCATAAATTCTTCGGGTTTATGGTGTAATTTATGCTGGTACGCAAACTTACCTAACTGCTACTGTTAATAATTGACAGGTGACGCTCTGCAGACAACTTCGAAACATACTATAGCATTGACCTAAAACCAGACCAAAGCCTGTGCTATGGCTTTTGTGTGGGAGAACACTGCAGTTTATTTGTAACCTGACATGGAAGTATGTCTGCTCTTAGTTGAGAGCCGTGCCTTCTCTGAATAATATAGAAGCCTGTATAATAGTTTGCAACAAGCAAACTAAATACTGGGAGGTCTGTGTGTAATCCCTCTGAACAGACCTCCAATGGGATGGTTGTGCTCTAATTAAAAAAGCAGGTCATCAAAATGCAGTTATCGCCTGTCTCAAGTCAGGAGTTATCTAGTATTACCTAACCGGTCGTTATGAAGACAGTGTTCTGGGCTAATGCTTGGTCGTTGGGCATGAGCTAGAGACTTCCTTTAACAAGAAAAAGTCCTGGAACGGTGCTGAAAAAAAGCAGTGTGAGTCAGAAGGACTAGTGATATTTGTAAGGTTTCATACTTAGTTAATATTTTATTGTCTTTGTGAGTCTAAACCTACTTTGAAGCTTCAAGTGCTCACTTTCATATGTGGCTCTGGTTTCAGTGTTGAAATAAGCCAGATAAGCTGATGCTTCTTGTTGAAGCTAGTATTAGGTGTGCTGCATTTGTCCCAGCTAACAGTATAATCTTATTCTGAAATCTGTTTCGAAGTGGGGTGTTTTAGGGTTTTGATAGGAAAGACATACAAGTAAAAAGGCTGACTTTACAAGCAGAAATAATGTTATCAAATAAATAGCATTTAAATTGGCAGCTTTAACTTAATACCTGGTTTCCTGAGTCTGTTTACGGTATCTTAAATTTGGGAGTCTGTTGTTCGTTTAACCCCTTAAGTCTGTTAAGTAGTCTCATCTTCTTAGCTTTGCAGACTCTTGGAGATTCTTGCTGTAAAATAGCAGCTACTAATGTATGTCATTACTAACAAAGTGTGGAGGTGTTAGACCTCCTTGAACTTGTAGGTGATGCAGGTGTAACATGGGGAAAACTTTATCTTGTGTTTCTTAGAGAAAATCCAGTCCTGCACAAAATGGAGAGTGCCATGTATGCTGTAAACGCACATGATTGTGACTTAAGTAGGGCTATAACGCATTCAAGCAGTGTGTAAAAGCAGGAGTGAAAAAGAGCTGCTTCTTGCATGAGTAAGCTGTATTCTGTCTCCTGAGATGTAATAGTACTGCAACAGCAAGAGCAGGAGACTACTTTCTAACACAGAGCAGGGGGTTTAGTTTTGCCTGATTGGATGACTGAGTCATACCGTAACATCAGGTGGTTGTCTGGTTTGAATAAATCTGTGTTAATTATAGCAGTGAAAATGGACTTTTGTTTTGACAAAAGTTCAGTCAAGCTTCTGGAGCTGGAAGATACCTGTTAAGTAGTAGAAAAAGAAAAAAATTTCTAAGGAGTAGTGTATTACTATTGTTGCGCACATGCGCTATATTTGGAAGATGTGCAGAATGGCTTTTTAATTTGGGAGTAGATTTTTGCCTTGATGTCATTCTCCTTTGAGTTGTGTGGTACCTCTGTAGTATAACACTGCTGAGATGCTGAGTCAGTTTTATTGTCCAGACTGAAGCATCTGAAAACACAGTTAAGACTGACAAGATGAAATTGGGATGGAGTCACAGTGAATTTGTTCCAGAATTCGAGTAGAACTCTTGATACTGAGGGAAGCGTCTTTTGCTGTGCTGGTCATTCAAACCAGATTGTGACTAGCAAGGAAGAGCAAACCTTGCACACCTGATTGGTTACTGAGTGATCTCGAATACACGATGATAGTTAATGGCATTGCAATATGGTTAACCCTATGCTTGATTTTCATCCTCAGCTGTAGTAGGACTTAAAGATGTGCAGCACAAAGCACACACAGCTCGTGTTTAATGTACTACTTAGGTAACTGCCTTACTTGGGCCAGCCCCATGAAAACAAAGCCCAATGCTTGGCCTGTTATTTTGGATATTTTTTTTCGTACCTTTCAGCAAGTATTGGAGAGGAAGGATGATAGAATCATTACGGCTGGAAAAGACCTCTAAGATTCCCGCTCAGTCCCCATGTGTTGCCTGATCTAGTTGAGAGGTGGCGTCCCTGGCGGCAGGGAGGCTGGATTAAAATGATCTCTAAGGTCCCTTCCAGCTTAGGCCATTCTATGATCCTATGATTATCTAGTCCAGCTGTCAACCCAGCACTACCGCGACCGCTAAACTATATCCTGAAGTGCCATGTCTACATGTTTTTTGAACACTGCCGGGGTGGCAAATCCACCACTTCCCTGGGCAGCCGGTTCCAGGGCCTCACCACTCTTAGTTCTGGCTGTTAGAGGAAATATTTTGTGTCAGTTGTTAGAAATTAGTGTATTCTTTTAATGATACTGGACAGCAGTGTTTTGCAACGTGTGTGACGCTTCTCAGTTTTGGACGTTAGCTCAATTTAAGCTGGAAGGGAGGGTGTGAGAAAGGAGTGCAAGGAAAAATTCTGAATTATAACTTTGAATGTTTGATTTTACTTTCTTGAAAACACTCAGTAACCTTTTTGTTTCTTTAAACTAGAATCCTGCAATTGCTGACATCTACACTGAACATGCCCATCAGGTTGTAGTTGCCAAGTATGCTCCCAGTGGATTCTACATAGCATCTGGAGGTAAAATATCAGTGCGTGTGCTGCGTGAGATGTGGACAAAGCTGTTGAAGTGCTCAGTGCAGAACTTATTGGCAAAACAGAATAGTAACACTTCACATTTATGTACAGAATATATATAGTCAATGTGACACGCTTCACTGGAATCACATATACATGCCTGAGGGAGGAATGATTTCTGTAGTTGTTCCTCTAACCACTTTCTAAAGCAGTGAGTTTAGTGACATGCTTGGTCTTCCTAAAATTTATTATTTAAAAAGAACCTGAAATTGAACTTTAAATACTTTGTGTGAAGTGTTAAATAGAACAAATCTTAGTGTAATGAAGACTTGTGTATGTGCAGCAGAAAGAAAAGTTATTTCTGAAACATAGTACTAATGTTTCTGTTTAAGTGTCTGTTGATACTCTGGGAGTAGGAGAGTGCCTGTAGAAGACTCTATACTCCTTTCTTTTCCCTTATCCTCCTTCATTCTTCCTGACCAAACTTGGCATGACTTTTCTTATATTTGTAACCTGAACTAAAAAAGCTTTCTTTGCTAAGTTAACGGGGGAAGAGGCTGATTCTCACTTTGCAAGTAATGCATGTGAATTGACAGTCTGAGAATGGGTAACGTGTGTTCTACAGCATGAATTTCCTGGATTGTTATCAGAAATGGCTACAGGTTTTGAGAGACTTATAAAGAACTAAAACCCTTTCCAGTAGAAGCTTGCTTCAAATAATTGACTGCATCTGTAGGAGGACTAGTGTACAGTTGAAGAACATTGATAATACAAAATTGTAACTTCAATTTCTTAAAAACATTTGCAGTTGATATATGGATTATTTTAAAAAAAAAAAAAAGTCTGCTTGCCATTGTTAATAGGAAAAGCTTCAGAGCAAGTAATGTGCCCAAATACAGAAACACTTTTTAAGTAATGCATCTGAAAATAAAATATTCTGAATATGTTCTCTTCAGAAGGAGACTACAGACTCATGCACAGGTCTTAGTAGAATGGGATTTTCAGTAATTCAAAGGGAACAGTGTTTTTAAAAAATTTAAAATGTTCTGTCCTTTTGGGCTTCCTGCATATCAGAAATGTATATTAGAATGTGTATCCTTTGAGTGCTGGGGAACCTTTAAGAACACTGGACCAGAGCCAGGATTTTCTTGGCACAGTATTGTGTGTGGTCCATGTGTCAAATAGAATACCTTCGTAAAATCCAGTTTGCATTCTTTATTCTACAGACTTGATGTTCTAGATTTGTCCTTTGCTTAACCCTCAGAATAACCATCTATTTTGTTCTTGTAGCCTTGTAGGTTTTCAGTCCTCCATAAAAGAGGCAATACGTGCATAGCCTGATCAGTGAAGAAGTTTTTCGTTAATGATCAACCTAAGGAAGCTCCTTTCTCCTAGAGGAGCATTCAGTTGACTTTTTTCAGAAGTTGTCTGTCATGCAGTTTAGACTGCGATATTTTCCTTAAAAAGTGTCTTCTGTGTGTCATTTATAAATAGTTTCATGATACTGCTGAGCATAGGGTCTGAAGATAGTATCAGGCTGTTTAAGCTGTTTCTAAGTATAACATGCAAGATTCATTTCTCTATCTATAAATCTGCATCAGCCATACAACCTGCATTAATACCTCATGTGCTGCATGAGACAGGCCTTTGGCAATTCACTTTGTGGCTTTTATGGTAATTTCTGTTACTGCAGTCATGACAGGTGTAGTAACGGGAGATATCATAAAGTTGAGGCTCTATGTGTCCCAGCTATTAACAGATGGTGCAAATAATTAGTTTTTGAAGACCACATTAAAATTCTGCTTCAATAATAAATTCTCTTTATAAAATGGAGGATTCTGCATCTGTCCTTTCAGCAGAAGTGGAGAAGATGAGTCTCTGATCAGGTCCCAGAGACACATGTTGCAGTATATTTAAATTGAATGTAATGATGCACCAATAAACAGCAAACAGAACTTGAAAGTGTTCTGCTTAGATGACAGGTATATATTTTAGCACAGTGGCTTTTATAAAGGGTCCAACACATGCAGAATTTGTGTTTGGGTTTCATTAAAGGTGTGTAAACCTGTCTGTATACAGAACAATTCCCCTGGTTGCAGTGCTGCACCACAGTGATTGCTCTGAATAGAAGCAAGCTCTAGGACTGTATGATACTGGGAGGAAACGGGAACCAAGGAAGTTTTCCTTATATTGAGTCTTACTGAGTCTTAAATTGTTATGTGCTGTATCTGCTGCTCGTGATGTTACTGGTTTTGGATATTCTATTTTATGCCTTTGTAGTAATTCAGGTAATGCAGGTATGCACACACAGCATTAAGTGTGAACGCTCTTCTGTATCGAAAAAGTAGGCTGATGAGTGTTCATGAATCACAGAATCACAGAGTTGCTAGAAAAGCCCTTTAAGATCATCAAGTCCAGTCATTAACCTGACACTGCTGAGTCCTCACGTAAACCATATCCCTAAGCATTGTGTCTACATGACTCTTAAATACCTCCAGGAATGAGGACTCCACCAATGCCATGGGCAATCTGTGCCAATGGCTGATAACCCTTTCAGTAAAGAAATTCTTTGTAATATCCAATCTATACTTCCCTTGGTGAAACTTGAGGCTGTTTCCTCGTGTCCTGTCTCTTTGTATGTTTAAATATACCTGCAATTTGTATGCAAAACAAGTTTGCCTAAAAAAGCTGAGGTATAAATATTAGTGCATCAGCCACTGTCTTGCTCTTTCATTGTAGAATTAAGGTGGCCTACTTACCAATGAAGTGTGGGTAAGCGATCTTGTAACTGCTGGGAAAAGGGGGCTGGTTTGGGTTTTGTTTTTTGTGTAGCACAGATAATTAACAAATACTGGCTGATAACGTTAGAGTTCCTGCCTCCTTACGGTCTTTTTTCATGTGTCTGCAAAGGGTTGTCTCCATGTGTTGTATTCATTGCTGTATGTCTTAAACCTTAATATCTGGTTAAAAACTTAATTCAGTGAAACAGATGTAGTCTTCAGCATTTATAAATCAAGTGATTCGTAGCAATTGTAATAGGGTAAGATAACAGATCCCTCGTACAAGTGTTCAGTGTAGCTGAAAATCCGTATCCTGGCAGATTGCTGAGTCATGTGACTGAGTCATTCTGGAACAACAATAGTTATATTCTATTTTATTATGGCAGATGTCTCTGGAAAGCTGAGAATTTGGGATACTACACAGAAGGAACATCTACTGAAGTATGAGTATCAGCCATTTGCAGGAAAAATAAAGGACCTTGCCTGGACTGAAGACAGCAAGAGAATTGCTGTCGTTGGAGAAGGAAGGGAAAAGTGAGTAATTCATTTATGTTGTGTGTATATACATATACTGTAAACCTTTGTATTCTAACAAAGCAGGTTCTTTGCAGAAGACTTTTAATTTTTCAAGGGAAGAAAGTCACGGCCTGTTCCCTGTTTAGACTTCAAATTGTGCTGTTCTGCAGCGGAATTCTTTATGCAGTATTTCATAGCTGTAAAATTACTTGGAAAATACAATTCTGTTAGAAGTGCTCGGGTTAAAAGTTCTGTGGGTCTTGTTTGATGACTATTCGATATACCTCTTGGTCACTTAGGGTTTTTTTGGTCTAATAGAGTAGGAAGGGAGAACCACAAGACAGTTCTTCTCCCTTTTCTTTCACCTCTCCCAAAAATTGAGAGGGCATGATCAAATACGACTAAAAAATAAAAAAATTAAAAATTGTACCTGAATTTTCTTCCTCAGCAACACAACCAAATTTTCAGGCCTTATTATGGTAGTGAAAAAAAAAATATCACAACCAATTAAATGACTAAATGAAGTGCCCATTACAGTCAGGTTTGTGTCCTTTCTTTAGTGTTTTTAAAGACTTACAGATCTTTAAGGCAGAGTCCAGACCAGGTAGTCTTATGCCTAAAGGCCTGAAAAACGTAGTGTGATCCTGTCCCCTGATCCCCTGCACCACTATTTAATCACCATAATGTACTATGTTCTGATATTTTGAAAGAGATTCTTTGTCCTCCATCCCTCCTTCCACTCCCACCTGCCCCTGAGTAGATACTATGTAAATTTGCTTTCCAACTTCAAAAACTCTGCTACTTTTCTATTAGGTGTATGCATTTTCAGTCTAGAATTTTGCTGAAGTCATTCTATAAGGCTCCTTTTTAATAGCAGCACTCTGGCAGTTTAACACCACTGCATTCAATATACTGATTTTTATTTTTTAAGATGATTTAAAGTAAGAACTGACAAAAGTGGTGTTATAACTCTTCTTAAGCCTTTAAATAATAATAGTTGTAGAAGTGATGGTACTCAGTCTAGGCTAAATAATCAGATAGTTGATCCGAAATCACTGTTATCCTAGCTTTCTGTATTCTGTGTAGTGACTAAGCAGGTGGAATAATTCACTGCTTTAATTTATAAACCAACAGACTTCCTGGAGAATATGTTTTGGATCTCTGAATTTTTAAAAGCTTTGTATATACAACTTGTGTGTCTGTTGTTCCCTTCAGCAAATGTCTCCTATTGAAGATTAAATTCTTTCTCCAGCAAGATCTCTAATAGCCTTCAGGGAGCTATGATGGTGCTTGCATGAGATTAACGAGATGACCTAATTTCTTTTCTTTGAGTGCACTCAAATCTGCTGTTTGCACATGCTCAAGGAGTTAATATACATGTAACCTGTATGAATTGTAGTTATTTTGTGCTTTTCTAACTAGATTTGGAGCAGTGTTTCTGTGGGATAGTGGTTCTTCTGTTGGCGAGATTACTGGGCACAACAAAGTGATCAATAGCGTGGACATTAAACAAACAAGACCGTATCGTCTGGCGACTGGCAGTGATGACAACTGTGCTGCTTTCTTTGAGGGACCGCCGTTCAAGTTCAAGTTTACAATAAGTGTGAGTTTAAGTTTAGATGTGACTCTCAAACTGTTCAACAAGCTGACTAAATGCCTTCCAACAAGCTTGCGATTCTCGTCACAACTGGCCGGTAGAACAAAAGTTCTTAGCCCTCTGTTTTGAGGCATAATTGCTGTCAAGTGGCTTTCTCAAACCCATGTATGAATATAACTGAAAGCTTGTCTCAGGCCAAGAAAACTGAAATAAATGATTGGTTAAGAAGTAAACCTGAAACACTTTTTCACGATTTATTTGGCTCTTCTTACTCTTCCCTAACTTCAGAAATGGGGTGTTCCCTTGGCCCCGTTACTGCTCTCTGAGCTCTGCTTCCCAGTGTAGACATGCAAGAGTTTCTTAATATTCTCCAAGGTGCTCAATGCAGGAAATGTGGTGTGAATGGAATTTTCCAATCTGCTTAAGAGTGCTCAAATCTAAAATCCCAGGGCAGCTTAGAAAGAGTGAGTGTAGACGTTTGAAAACGTACCTGATTACTACAAGGAGGAATGGATGCGTAACTTCTGAGGTCACTTTTCTTTTTTTTTACATTCCTTTTCACTTTCTGTTTTTTTATTCTACTAGTTCAAATCTCTTATGTAAATGAAACAAAGCCAGGGACTACCGATTTTAAGATATCCGTTGTTACTTGAGCAAATAAAAAGCCAAAAGCTTTTGCAGCTGTTGTGGTGGTAGAAGACACGTCTCTTGCCTCAAAATCCTCCTGCAGAAATACTGAATGTAGTAAATTCTAAATGCTTGCTTCTTATTTTTAACAACACAGCCTTTTATTTTCATAACTATGTGCCTTGAGTAGTCTTCACGGACTGACTTTAGTGAGGATTCCATTCCAGTTCTGGAAAAGGAATTGTTTTGAGCTCTGCAGTCCAATGAAGTGATGTAGTTGCCTAATATATTTCTGAACTTAAGTTGATACTTGCATTTTGCTGAGCTTGTTCTTTTGGAACTCTGAAGTCTGAATTGCTTAGACTGATATGTGATTCAGTATTCCTTTTAAAGTGATATTTGAGTTGATATATAGGATCCTGATACAGGCCGTGATGTGATCTAGATTAGAATTTGAGGTATTATCAGAAAAAAAATTAATCTAGAGTTAAAGAAAGTAGGTTAGAACCTGCCTTTCATAATACTAAAAATAGTGTCCGAATCTCTTTGCATGGGAGCTTTGGCCTCATTGTGGTGCTTCCCTATTTAACGTGTGTTTTCGAGTTAGCATGGTTTGAATAGTCTCCTACTTGTAAATAGTCTATTTGAGGAGCATACATCAGGCTTGCTTGGTTACTTCACAGAGCTACCACTAGTGCAATCTCCCAGGAATGGAATTCTAGTAAAATTTATTCTTCATGTCTGAGTTTTTTACAATAAGAAGGATAAAATACTCTTCTCTGTGTAAGACTTAATTGTGCAATGAAGCAAGAGTCAAAATCTGGAGAATGTTGCAGAAAATGAGGCCTTGAGTAAGCTGATCTAGTTGAGAGACGTCTCTGCCCATGGCAGGGAGGTTGGATTAGATGATCGCTAAGGTCCCTTCTAAGCTAGGCCATTCTGTGATTCTATGAAAATTTCAGTGACCAGAGGGAATAATCTCGTGTTTGCATCTAGGCTGCAACTTGGGCTTTTTTCCTACCTATCCCTGAAACCAGGTACTTGTTCACTTTGTGTTGTGCTAAATTGTTTGAACTGCATCAGTGTTGATGTCACAGTTTCTTCTCTGGACTGTTCTTGATCCCCATGATTCTCTTCAGATAGAGACTACGCTTGTTCTGTAGCAATTCTCTACAGCAGGCATCTCCTACACTAATACACAGTTTGCATGTAAGAGAACTTTAATTTTACTGGATTATCTTCTATGTAAAAAGGTCTATCCTTATTTTGTGTGCTCATTTTTACTTTTTTTTCTGACAGGACCATACACGGTTTGTGAACTGTGTGAGGTTTTCTCCTGATGGGAACAGATTTGCTACAGCTAGTGCAGATGGCCAGGTAAAAAACAAGGACCTCTTTTTGTAGTGATTTTAGCATGAGAAGATTTTCTTGTGTATTTTGGGAATAGGATTAGTATTTTAAAATCCATGTTGCTTCTTTTTTTCATGCTAATATTTATTGGCTTAAAGTTTTAAGTATCCTCCTATAAAGCTGTAACAACTTGATATCAGTCAGACTATTCTCACTCAGCTTTTTCCCCGTTCCATCTCCCTAGTGTACTACTTCTCTCATTTTGGCAGGAACATATTAGACTTTTGGAGTATGTATGTCCTCTTTACAATCCTGAGAAGTCTGAGTCAAATACTGAACTCAAGCTAGCAACCCGGATCCAAGGGGACTCGCTGCTGATCAGGGCAGCTTTGACCAATGACACTGTTACCATCGGTAGCTGCTCCTGTTCTGCTGAAAAGGCAGAATGCCCTGGCTGTAGTGCTAAGCAGCTGCCATCGCAGCAGGAGTCACCAGTGTAACATATTCCAGAATTTCACTTGTCAGGATCCAATGTACAGAGTGATTATTTACAGTTGTCATCTCGTTTGTTTAGTTTTAAATATTAAATGCAGGAAT